GTGTGTGTGTGCTTTGTGTCTGTTGTGTACAGGAGGTGGTCTAAGGAAGCAGTACTGCTGTAGACATTTTCTTGGTATTTTTTATTAAGTGGTTGTGTGTTGATAAGTTTAGGTAGATTGTTTTAGGGTGGCCAGTAACAGTCAGATGTAATTTTGAAACTTATGATGTATTGTATGATGTGATAGGAAATTGTTTTTTTAAGAGAAGTTATGGAAGCAATTTTAGATATATGTCATTGACTCCTGATCTGATTTTATTATGTATATGGGTCAGATACTTATTAATGCCAGCTTGGAAGGTGGCATTTGCATTCTTAGATGTAGACCAGTGGTTCTTGACCTGGGGAGTGCACTTTCACTAGAAGGGTATCAATAATTTTTAGTGGGATGTGAGCCTTAGGTGAAAAGTATGAATTTCTTTGATTATATTTCCTATTAGCAGCATCTAACATGAGAAGATTATGAAAAATGCAAAAGTATCACATTTAGTAAATTTATTTTTCTATTGTCTATGTAACCCCCTGATTATTCCTTAAAACCCAGGGGGGGGGGGGGAGTTGATTTGTCCTTGAACTGTATACCTCTTTTTTTAATTCCATTATATGGCAGTTTGCCATATCCATCCCTAGTAACCCTCTTCTTTATTTCTTTAGTTGAGGCTGTTGTGGTATGTTGTACCTCAGCTATTCTAGTTACCTATGAATAGTAAGCAACCATAGCTGTATTGTTGCATTGTGTTTATTTGTGAGTATAGCACACCCCCATAGCTATGTGCCCTATGTTCGCATTGGTTTGGTTTTCTTTGTTCTTTGTTTTATCTCCTTGCCATAGTGTCTTTTGAAAGTCTACTATTATTATCCTCAAGATCTCGAACCCAGACAAGAACGGAACGGAACCATCGGACGACGACGAGCAAAGTACATGTCCCCTCCATGTATCCCTAATCAGGATGGGCAAGGCAAGGGGCGGCGGGTTGTTTGAAAACGGCCTCCCGCTGGTATATGAACGATGAACATTGATTTTGTTGCTTAGTATTAGTAAAAAAAATGTTTTTAAAGAAGAGAACCACTTACTCATTAGAGATTATTGGATAAGGGGTGAACTTATTAATTACGCAAAATAAGCCCAAAACTGCAGTAACTTTAACTCTAAATATCCCCTTGCTTTCCCGCACACCCACAACCCTCACCCCTCTCACACTTGCACACTTCTCACACCACTACACAATACGATTTTTTATTTTATTTCATGTTTACACCCACAATAAAACAGGCTACACCCCATATGTGTTTATCGTGAATATTTTGTTCTTTCTTATATAATTTTTTTCTATTAAATTAATAAGAATTAATACTTTTCTCAGCCCCTGTAACAAATCTTTAATCATAACCCACCCCCCCCGATCCCCCACCAACAACCCCCCCCACCCTATATCACACACTCCAAACATCAACAGATCATCTCAACCCAACCACTCTATACCCCTCTTATACCACCAAACCCTCACCTAACTGTGTTCAATCGTATTCCGGAATTGTCTTATTACCTCCCGATTGGGCTGCATAACTCGATTTTCTTCTTGAATGCAGTTTATTAAAGGATGATGAAACAATTACCAAATCAAACACTAGCAATAACGACGTTTATACCAAAGACAACGAACGAAAGCGGAATAACCCCACCCCCCCCCTCCCACCCCAGGTAACTAATTATTAAGGATTTGCTCACCCCAGATGATGGTTTTCCTTCTAAATGTCTGCTGGCTGTAAAATTTTTTCCTTTCTAACTTCTTCTTAACCTTCTCCCCCCTTAAAATATCTAGGGCACGGTTCAGTCAAGCTCTGACCCGTAAAATTTGGCCCGCAAGCAGACGAGTCCGAGTCGGTGGAACCCGCGTTCAATGACTTGACATGACGACCCCCTTCAGTCAGACATACCAGCCGATTGTATCGGAATCGAGGATCACATCTTCAGTCTTTGCACCTAGAGTCCTGACAAGAATCCGAAGCGGCGACAGCCAACAACCCACCCCCCCACCCCACACTCTACGCCCCCCGGGATCTCAATAGCAGTCAGAGCCAAACTAGATTACAGACGCATATCATCAGAGCTGTTTTTGGCGGTAGGGTAAATTCAGTTCTACGGATAAATCACATCTTTTAAGCATACATGTTACAACAGCTATTTCCCACACAGTCTGCGTATTTATATATCTAATTGCTTTCTTTACTTCTTTTCGTTTTCCATCTTTTTCATAGTCTAAAAGCTCATGTATTTATATTTTTGTCACAGGTAACATATATCCAATCGTACACACGAGTTACCAAGAAAGAAAACCGCTCAGCCTTTGCGCCCCGTCCACTCCCGTCCCCCCACAGGACCGAAGCCATCGACCCCGTTCCTGGGCTCCGACCCTTCGACCCCAAGACAAACAACAACTCCCTCATACGAAGCACTGCTCACCTGCGATCAAAGTTTTTTGAGTGCATCTTTAGCACCACGTGTGGATTAGATTATGTTGCCTAAAACTTCTATAGTCCCATTGCCCCATGCAACTCCTGACAGCAAAGTAAGGTGTATGTTCATAGGTCAAAAATATTATTTCATGTGGTTCTGCCCAATGAAAATATACAGTACATTTGATCGAACTGGCAGTCATTGGCGCATCCCGCCTCAGAACAGGCACGACCCTGCTTCTGCGAATATCACCATATTTACTGTCAGCCTCTCTCATCTATTGTCCACAGCTACTAACGTTCGTTTCCTCAATTCTCTCCACTCGCTCCGGCACCCTCCCCCCTAGGCGCGGCATGGCCCACCCCATTGTATTACAAACTCCCCATTACCAAGAAAGAAGCCGAATAGTTGCTTATACAATCAGTTACTTCTAGGAATAATCATATCACCAGTTGCACAGTAATGGACCCGACTCAACCCCCGCCCTACACTCCAAAATGATACGCTGGGCTAAAAAGTGGCGCCGGCGATGAGACACGCAGCAAAACGATGATCTGCGGGTTAAACTTGACTGATCGTGCATAGTGATTTTGCAGCAAAACTTTGATATGAGAACAAGTTACTTGACCTAATTGGTGGCTATACATTTTATCACCCCGGAACAACTGACTCGACCGGCAGCGTGCTTTTCTCCCCTGGCCTGTGACAGAGATAATGGTCCGCGAGGGGGCAACTGGATCCTCACCTTATTACTGAAATGTCCATTGGTTTATCGACTCGCTCACTTTGAACGAGCCTCTGTGCCAAAGCTTTTCTATATCCAAACTGATATATAAACCTGTGCCGCCTCGCCCTCTAAATAAACCTACTCTACATACTCCCTTGATATTGACAATCCTACCAACTGCCATACCTTCAAATAGTTCTCCCTCTACCCCCAATAGCTGCAGGTATCGCCTCCCCCTGCATGTTCCAGTCGCTAATTCTCGTACGTTTCCAACTCTTGTATTATGACCCATTACGAACAGAGATCGGCTCACTTTTGCTGTTTAGTCACCAGAGAGCTTTAGCTTTCATTATTAGTTCAACCTAACTCACTTGTTATTACTCTTACTTGATTTTTACCTTGACCTTGGTCTCTATTCGAATGTAGTCGACTTACCCTATAACACTCGGACCCCCCCGGCCACGGGTATAAACCATCCAAATCGATAATGATTATGCACGCCCCGCCTTAGCACTCTAGAAAAATCATCCTGTTTAAATTCGAGGAATGGGGAAACTCACCCAGTCATATCACTGGACCCACTGATTGACTCCCCACCCGTGGTTAGAGAATTTGTGGGAGCTATAACCCTCGTGTGTGTATCCCATCCTGTGGTTGAAATCCAGGATTTCACCAACTTTGGAAGAAAATATAGAGACTTATGAGCCGCCTCCTATATATGTGGAAACTCAGGCTTTGGCAGTCCAATATTTCTTGGTGTTAGCAAACTGGGAGATAGTCATTTCAGATACCACCATGGAATATAAACATATATGTCTGTTTAACCTACAGATTAGGTATATGACGGGACAGTTATATGAAGCCACATACAACATGCCATAATCATTCATATCCTCATATCTCCAATCCATTCCTATTTTTTGCCTACAATATTGAATTTCCTTTTGCACCTATCCTTCAAATTTCCAAAACATCTCTCTTGCAAACTGAAGGTTCGCTGTCGCGGGCGGGGAAACCAGCCTCACCCCCCCGCCCGCGCAAACCCCTGGTATGAACGCGCCTAATGAACAAAACGCACGAGAAAGCCTCCGTCACCTCTACTCCATACCCTGAGCTCAGGCTTCTAGGGTGGACCCCCCACAGACAACCAGGTAGCATGAAGTTTAGACTGTATTGAAGAGTTCCAATGCTGCTAAAACCGCAAGCTAGAAGATTAATTCCGATGAACTATAATCTTCTTTGTAATAACATACATACCCACACCTGCTATTACACTATATGTTGATGTAATATATAACTCGACTATAGTGAATGATGTCATTACTAATATCACTATAGACGATATAACCTATATAGCACTATAATATACAATGCTATATGGAGTATATATTAACAGTACGTTATATGTATAATGCTATGTCATACTGTATAAAAAGATGTATGTGATAGTATGTAGTAGGCACTTACCATACTACTCACATACTCTTTATCATGATCATGTTATATTCAGTATACAGCACGTTATGCTATACAACAAGCTGTCCACTGTTGCTCCGTGTCTAGGCCCCTGTCATCACCCCAAGCGATTTCTTGTGTAAGCTATCCTTCTACGACCTCTCCTTGTACATAACTTATTATGATATTTACCCAATTCCTACTTAAAGCACTAACTGGCAATGTGACTCTATGTAATGCACCTGCTCACTCAGAGAAGCGGCCTTGAAACCGGAGTGCAACTCGCATCTTACACGTTAAAAGAAAGTGTGTCATCGCTGCTCCACTCTTCTGACCGCTTATGTGCAATGATCAAAGGTCT